AAACTATTACAATGAGACTAAAGTCGTCGAAAGTAGCTTTACTTGGAATCTGCATTTCGACAGTCGATTGTTCTTTCTTATTTATTTACTTTTTTTAGTTTATTTTGGAATTTTAACCAGTTGATGTTGTTGATTAATCACATTAAATTAGGATCTCAGCTGATACCAGTTGATGCTGTTGATAAGCCATAGTTGTCTAAGGACTTAGCTGGTGCCAGTTGACGCTGTTAATTAGCTAGACTTAGCTCAGGATCTCAGCTAGTACCAGTTGATGCTGTTGATTAGCCACACTTAACTTAAGATCTCAGCTGGTACCAGTTGATGCTGCTCATTAACCATACTTGGCTTAGAATCTCAGCTGGTATTACTTGATACTGCTGTTTAACCATACTTGACTTAGGGTTTCAGCTTAGTACTGCAGTTGATGCTGTTGACAAACCATACTCATTTAGGACCTCGGCTTGGTACTGCACTTGATGCTGTTGATTAACCAAATTCACTTAGGATCACAGTTCAATTATAACCAAACCACCAAAAGAGTCTAGCATCTATTGTTAGAAATACAATTTCTTGGAAAAGGGTAAGTTTATATTGGTTTACAGAAATATACTATCATAGTTTATTAGTTTTGGATTGAAATGGAATCGACTATCTGATATTGATTTGCTTTAAAATGAAGTTTGTATTTGATAAAACTATGGATAACCGAACTTTAGCTCTCCGAGTTAAACTCTATAATCCAGTTTTTATCAGAATGTTTGAAAACGTTTTTTTATATCATTGAACGCTTTTAACAAAAATGCTTGTTAATTAAGAAAAATGTTAGTAACCCGTTTTAACACAATGATCTGGAAACTGTTTAAATTTTTTACTCAGTGTTACTAGAATCGTTTGGGAACTATTACAAAGGCTATTAAACAACTTCCAAACCGTTCTTCTAGCTCGTTAATAGCTTTTTTTACAGTTTCCACGTTATTCTGCTAAAAGTGGCTTAACGTTCTTTAAATAGTTACCCAATCAATCTGCTAAAGCTGGCTTTTAGCCTTTTAAACAGTTTCCAAATCGTTGTGCTAAAACTGGCTAAAAGCTCTTTAAACAGTTTCCAAACCGTTTTGCAAAACCTGGTTCAAAGCTATTTAAACAATTTCCCAACCAATCTACTAATGCCGGCTACTAGCCTTCAAACAATTTCCAAACAGCTCCGCTAAAACTGGCTAAAAGCATTTAAAAAGTTTCTCAACGAATCTACCAAAACTGGCTATTATCCTTTTAAGCAGTTTCCAAACCTTTATATTAAAACTGGTTAAAATTCTATTAACCAGGTTTAAGAGGATGGTTTGAAATGGTGTAAGATTGAAATATGTCCATTTTACATAGGCATAAAATAACAAACATGAAACGGGAGGTAAAATATTATTAATTTATTTAATTTTTTTTAGTTTATTTTGGAATTTTAACCAGTTGATGCTGTTGATTAATCACATTAACTTAGGATCTACCAAAACAAAAATATGATTTCATGATAGTATAAACTAGCTGGATAAAACGTCACGTGCATGTAGTCAACATGTCAAAATATTATATGTTTCAGAATCAGTACATGTTACAATACTTGGATGAGTAATTTGTTACTAATCATTATACTCTGGTCCTGTCTGAACAAATCATATAACATTATAATCCCGTGGCAAAAGTGTTGAATACGATTTCTTATTAAGTTATGAAGAATCTCGTGAATCTTTCTTACTTTGGTAAAACCTCAATTGCATGTAATCAACATGCTGTCATAGTATTAAACGCTTACAAGTCATGTTCGGAACACCTCACGTGCATGATGTCATGATAGTATAAACTTCAAATTAGCTGGGTAAAACGTCACGTGCATGTAGTCAACATGTCAAAATATTATATGCTTCAGAATCAATACATGTTACAATACTTGGGTGAGTAATTTGTTTTTAATTTGGAAAGTGCTGAGCCAAAACAATGAAATGAAATAAACATTTCGTAACTTTTTCAAATTTTAATTTAGCTAAATTACATCTTATCTTTAGCCATTCGCAAATTTCAAAGGACATATATTTACATACCTCTCATGTATTTTATCTGCAGTTACTATGGAAAGCCAGTTGGTTGAGAGTACAAGCAACCAGGAAAGAGTTACGAAGGCAATGATGGCACCAGAGTGACGTGCTTAAACGATAACCACTTTGCATTAAGCACAATTACATAGAATTCTAACTGGTTTCTTAACAAAGTCTTCTATAGGGTTGCACAACTAAGAGGAGCGTTTTATTAGCTACGCTAGTAAAGGGAATCAAAGCGAAACCTAGAGGAATAACGAGTTTTAAATGAAGATCAACATTTCTAAAATCACGTGACTCATTATCTTGAAATAGAGATGTTCAGAAGACCGGGGATATCTGAATATAAACTTAAATTCTTTCTTCTTTATATTAACTCAAGCTATTTACTTCATCTCCTGTTTCATTAAACTCCAGAGGTAAGACAGTTTTCTCACATTTACAGTCATTAATGTCTTAACATGAGCTAAAGCGTACAAAGATTCATTTATTGTGTCTACGGATAAAGGCAAATGTTTTACCTAACAAGTAGCCATATTCTCAGTATGGTTATTAACTATAGCTTTTGGAAATACTTTTTACAGTCTCTAACACGTGAATGTTTTCTCAGACTTATAACTAATCTGTGTAGACACTTATTTACATTCCCTAAATTAAGAACATATGGAGCTGAACTGTAAGACACCTTTCACGGGCTCTAGTACGTGTACGTTTACTCAGACTTAAACTTAAGCTTAGGAGTACACTTCTAACAGTCCTTAACTTGTGGACGTGTTTTCAGATTTATAAGTAACCTTTTGTGACACTGTTTATAGCCGTATTCTCATAGTTATAACCTTTGAAAACTCCTTTTATACTCCCTAGCATATGGACGTATTTTGATATTTATAAAACTAACTTTTGCGACACTTTTGTACAGTCCCTGACATATAGATGTGTTCTCATACCTATAACTATAACATTTGGAAAAACGTGTTACAGTCCTTTATACATATAGTCGTATTGTTAGTCTTTTAAGTAATTCTTGGGGGCATTATTTACAGCCCCTAATATGGTGATGTTATCTGATACGTATAAATAACCTTTGAAGACACTCTTTACAGTCCATAAAATAAGGACATATTCTTAGATATGTAATTAAAGTTTGGCTACGCCTTTTACAATGTCTAACGCATTGACGTATTTTCAGACTTCTAACTAGCCTCTGGAGATGCTTTTAACAGTTCCTGACATATGAACGCATTCTAAGACTTATAATTAGCATTTGGAGACACATTTTAAAGGTCATGACATATGGACGTATATTCTAACATATATAATTAACACGTGTGGATACTTTTTACCCTATTATATGTTCATATTCTCAGACAGCTAACTTATGGAAATGGAAACACTGTTTACAGTCTCTAACATTTGGACGCATTTTCTGTCACATATTTAAGCTTCAGAGTACACCTTTACATTCCCTAATATTTGGACGTATTCTCAGACTTATAACTAACCTATGGGGAACTATTTACAGTCCCTAACGTATGGGCGTATTCTCAGACTTATAACTATAGCTAACCTTTAAAGACACTTCTTACAATACCTATAATGTGGACGTATTCTCAACCTTTAAAATAATCTATGGAAACACTGTTTATAGTATCTAACATGTGTACGAATCTCAGTCATATGCATTAGCTTTTAAGCACACTTTTTACTGTCCCTAACATCTTTATATATATATATATGTAACCTGTATGTAACTATACTTTGTAGATATTGTTAATAATACTTTATTTCGTAATTATTTTTAAACAGACGTTTCTCGCTTCTTTGTGATTTGAGGATCCAACAAGTAGATATTTTTGAAGTGTTAATTTAGATACGTAGCTCGACTATTGAAACAAGTATATAGAGACAGATGAGCCCAATTTCAATAAACTTTGTTCTATGATTGCGGTAAAAGCTAACGAACATGCATAAAACAAATTATTGTGTATCTTTGTGCGTGTTCATGATTCTTATCTATTGCCAAGGTAAGTGTGCCACTCTGAGGTAAGATGATTTTCATGAAGTTAGGTTATAAATCATAAGAATAAGTGACAATAATTCAAGAACTGTATTTAAGAAGAATGAGAAAAATTGAACTAAAGCTGAATTACGATAAATATACATATAACCTGCAAGAGAAGTTAAAAATAAAAACTTTGAAATTTTTTAACTCCTCTTACGGCATTTTCGTAGTTAGTTAGTGTAAAACCAAATATATATTTATGTGGTACTAAAAATGCATGAAACAATTCATTTTCTGTTCTTGAAAATAAGGATGATTTTAATTGTTCTTTTTAATCGACAAAACTTTTCAAAAACATCTGGTGGCCGTGCTAGCAAATATCTATTAAAGAACGTCGGCTTTTGGCATTAACTTCCAAATTAGAAATTCCTAGGTCGCTGATTTTTCCATATCATTAACCCCTAACAAGTTACACCCCATAGATTTCCATTATAGCTATTTTTTCACTCCATTAGGGCAAACCACATGCCCTTAAATAATTCCCTTACTCACCCACTGCACGAAAAACAATCTCTTATAATGAAAATTTGATCAATATCAGTAGCTTAGGCTGAGTGAATTTGATTATGATGTAATGCTATTTTAGGGTTATTGATGATGAATGTGACAAAAATGCAGAAATTTGGAAGAAGAAGCAACAGAAAGAAAATAGCGAAACGTTCAAATGAATAATATTCATATTATATCTATATCCAAAAACTCCAAAGTCTAAAACTCAACCTACATAAGCACCTAAGAGGTCAGAAAAAAGGAAGCTGCTGTTATGTAAAACAAGTGTTACTGAAGAAACCAACAGTTTGTTATTGAAGAGTTGTAGAAAGTGGTAGAGTTTGTGTTCTGGAAAATTGAAATATTCAGTAACCAGACAATCTCAAGTAGTCCCCTAACTTTTCAACAACTAGGTTGAGCTGGTCACCTGGTATTCTATCTGCAGTAACTGATGCAATCAAACACTTTTCTGTGGCAACTATACAAAGTACCGAACCTTCTTTTCTACCCCGATGCAGGGTACTTTCTGCAGACAAACAAATGCATTTTTCTCCACCAATACTGAATGCTACTGGATTGAACTTCATTGTGTCTACAGTGACTTTTAGTTCACTAGGAGCTATCTGTGTATTTGGGTCACTTTCACGCTTAGCCAATATTCCTCCATGAGCAAGCTCTGCAATTACTGCTAATCTGCATTGAACCTGAGAGCAGATCTGATCGTCAACGTACTTCGGGGTAAAGGCCTTTACTGGCGAAACCATGGTAGTGAATAAATGGTGTATTTGTGAAACGTACAATTGTCTTATTTTACCTTGAAAACTCAGGCTTCTGAAAAATAATTAGCTTTAGGAAAAGTGAAGATTATCTGTAAAATCCTTACAACTATTTCATCTGTCACTGAGATACATAAATATAGTTTCTTCCCAAAAATATCTTTTTTTTTTAACCTCAGAAAACCTATCATGCCTTGAAAACTGATCAAAAAGGGTCAAAAGGTTTACTATATATCGATCTGCTATTTGGTAAGGTTTATACTCTAAGTTTCTCTAAAAATATCGGACTGACATACTGTGTTCTACTGTATATCGTCTATGTGAAAGGATTTCTTACTAAAGATGACTATCTCTGCTTTAAAATCGTTTTACTTTTTTTTTGGAAAGAATATGGACGTTACCCATTATCTTTATGCACACATACACACACAAAATGTTTTAGCAAAGGTTTGAAATGAAGTAGAACAGCGCTTGACAGTAGCAGCTGTTCTTTTCTGTAATGCATTTTTACTCTTCCAACTGATACTGCTTTGCTCTGGTTTTGTTCTTTCTAGAGGAATGTTTTAATTAATCCGGGTGAGATTGGCATTCAGTTTTTATAACGACTAAACTGACTTAATGTTTTAATGAACACATAGAATACTGGCTGAAATTCAAGAACAAAAGTATCAAACTAGCTGAAGGAATTTACGAAACACTGAACCGGGTATAAGTGTCTCTTTCATGTGAGTTGTAGGATGATTAATGTGTGTAATGGCTTTACACAACATATATTCACATGCAGCAATTTGAATAAAAACACTTATAACAGCAAATAGTTTTCAAGATTTCAGATCAAGTGAATAATAAAAGCCTTCTATGATCAGAGAGTTTTGAATTAACATAGACATCAAACTATACTTCTGTTCAAAAGGTAAGGAACAAATCATTAGTGGTCAAAACAATTAACATCTGGACACCAATTTATTCATCTAATAGAAATGAACAAATGGATGATAAAGCAACAGTAAGTGGATCAGACAGACATAATTACATTTTTGACTTATCTGCCAAATGTAAAGCTAGTATAACTATTTCAGACGAATCAAATTTCTTCCCTAACAAATCGCAAAATTCGATAAAAGCTGAGTTCAGTGCTGTTTAGAAAGAAAACATGAACTTCGTTTGTTCTAAACTAAGTTTGTATAAGTGTATCAGTGGTCACATTGAGGGCTCATAACGCTAAACGATGTTCGATACCTGCGATGGGCACAGCGTAAATAACCCATTGTTTAGCTTTGCGCTTAAACACACACAAAAAGCAAATTATTTCTCTCTCTCTCTCTATCGAAAGTGGTTTTTTTGGAAATGTTGAATTTTTAACGAGATTTACCTAATTAATAATGGGAGAAGCAACAAACACAACGTATTAAGTGTATTTGACATGTGTTGTATATTACAAGGTTTAAAAACTACAAACATTATTTGTTCTCTCCAGTAACGAATTATTACTCACTTAGAAGTCTGAGAGATATTATTTTAGTTAGAACTTGCTAATTAATCCTGTAAATGGAACTTTCTAAATAACGCATTGCTTTTCTGAAAAAAATAAATCCGACCTTTTGTGTGTATTCATTTCGATTACGGTGTTCTTGCTATGTTAATGTAAAAGACTGAAGGTTGTAAAAGCTGAGATCTGATTTTTTGTTTACTTAAAAAACATATGCGATTAGTGTGAATAAGGGTTCGAATTCTGCTCTACAGGAGATTATGTAGTCCTAAAAAGTTCTAATACCCGGGTATTTCTATTTTCAACAAATAAACAGATGTCCATACATTATTGAAATTACTGAGAATCAGAACCATAATCTAATAGTATCACATCTTTTAATATAATACTATCACGTCTTTTAGTGTAATATTATTATATATTTTAATATGTTAGTATCATATCTTTTAATTTATGATGCTAGAAAAACACGTAGGTTCAAGAAGTCTTGATAGAAATGAATAAATCCCTATAATCCGAGCGTTTTCGAAAAGTGGACCTTTCTTCTTCAGGGGCAAACTGGCCCAGTTTCCTTTGAAGATAAAAGGTCCAGCTTCCGAAAGCGCTCGGGTTATAGAGGTTTTGTTTATGTCTTTTAATTTAATAGTGTCGTACTATTAATATAAAATAATAATATATTTTAACCTAATAGATTCATATGTTTTAATATAATAGTATCATATGTTTTAATATAATAGTATCACATTTTTCATATAACAGTAATATATCCTTTATTATAATATAATTATATATTTTTTAATATCATAAAGTCATATATTTTAGTATAATAGTGTAATATATTTCAATATCACAGAACCATATTTTTTAGCGTAATGGAAGCATATCTTTTAACAAATTGCCATGACATCAAAGAAAAGTTATGTCATCTGTTAGCAGGTATAACAAAGAATATTTCTAGATTTCTGAAAACCTCGCCAGAAATGAGATACAAGATCTGTTGAGGGTTTCAGAAATACACGCGCAGATATCGCTCCTCCTTGAACCAGGAAAAGAGTTTGAGAAGATCCTGGTTTCCAGTTAATTCTAGTATTCAGGTTCTCTTTGCGTCTTGCCGAAACCTGAGTGACATGGGTTTAGTACTTAATGCACATTTATGTGTTTTCATATCAGAAGAGAAATGACATTGCAAGCTGGAAACGTTAGTAATAAAGACGACCGTATTGTGCAATGTATATTTTGCATCTGAATTCTAGCTTCTTTTCATTTTTATTACTTCGTATTACAATTAACTTGATTTTATAGAAGTAATCCTGTACAAACTGTTTTAAAAATCCCATATCTGTAGAAAAACAAACAAACATTGTAGTAATTTTAAGTCCTTAACTACAGATACTTGTTACAGGATAAAATTTGATGGTGTATTCAAACATAAACAAATGCAAGCCTCAAAATTTTTTTCACCTAATTACTGAGCTTAGGTTAAAGTATGTGAGTACAATACAACATAGCGCATGGTACAATGTATATTGGTACAGTAGAATGTACCTTATAGTACAAAGAAAATGGGTACAGTAAATGTATCGTTTGCTGGTACAGTAGAATATATGTCATAGTACAAAGTAAGTATGTATAGTAAATATATCTTAGGGTACAAAGTATGAGGGTATAGTAGAATACAGCTGATAGTACAAAGTATGAGGGTACAGTAGAATATAGTTTACGGTACAAAGTGAGTGGGTACAGTTAAACTTAGAGGTAAAAGGTATGTAGTTAAAGTAGAATGTATATTATGATATAAAGAATGCGGATACTACAGAATATATCTTATGGTGCAAAGCACGTCGATACAGTAGAATATAGTTTACGGTACAAAGTGAGTGGGTACAGTTAAACTTAGAGATAAAAGGTATGTAGTAAAAGTAGAATGTATATTATGATATAAAGAATGCGGATACTACAGAATATATCTTATGGTGCAAAGCACGTCGATACAGTAGAATGAATCATGTATTCTATGGTACGTATGGATATTATAATCAAAGCAGCAACGCGTAAAGAATATTGGTGGTTATGTACAAAGTATATTTAAGATAACCGTTAACCGCCTGCAGCCAGTTGGTTTTCAATGAAGGAAAATGGAAATAACAAGTATTAGTCAAAAACAGAATAAATACATTACTCAGGTTACAAGACACGGGTAATTAAAGTTGCCATTTCAGTTTAGATAAGTGTCTCATGTGTGTGCATAACGACACAATTACAGCGTAGCACAGTTTCTAACCTCTTTCCTTATCAGTTTGTTGTTAAATTGTAGAAATAATTTATCTGAGGAAATTGTAGTACGAGTACACCCTCCGATAAAGTTTATAAGAAAGTGACCACAAACACTGGGATAACTTTGAAACCTCATTCTGTTCATCTGACAGGTGATTTATTTACCTGGTCTCAAATGCTTCAACTCTCATTTGTCGCTTCATTTATTAATAAGGACGGAATTTGGTGGCTTACCGAGCAACGCTGGCCAGCTTGTAAACGTCAGATTGTAGTTGTTGTCATTTTTCTTCGGAAGTTGAACATTTCAGAGTCTTATTTATAAACATTTTCTGTGTGACAATCCGTAGCTACAACTCATAAATCGTGTTAAGATGTTTGTGTGTGTTTGTGTGATATGGGTTATGTAGAATGAGCAGTAATGAATAGTGGGCATTTAAATAACATTTGATAATGGATTTAAGTCTTAGAACTTTCAATTCTACACCAGAAAGTATCATAGTTAATAGTTAGGACCAAAAGTAAATCAAACATTCTGACACAGTAATAATTTAAATTGTGTCTTAATATTTGAAGTATTCATGAAGTTTAATCCATTAAAATTCGTTTATGAAACTTCAAACTTTGAAGGACTCACTTTAGTGAAGAATAGATTATAACAGATTTGATGTAATGTTAGCTTATTGATAAGTATAAAACATTGATAAGGACATTTAAGGAAAGTGGTCATAGCTTGATTTTGTCAGGGATATCGCCAAGAATAGATTGTGGGGTTACTAGGATTGAATGCCAGTCGTAGATCAATGTGTAGGGATGAGCAAATAGGCTGGTTGGATTTGTGGGATAATGTTAATGGGAAAGTTAATCTTTTTGGAATGGATGGCTTACACTTAAACAATGCAGGGGCTAGCATGCTAGCAAGGACTATTAACTCATCTGTAGTGTTAGATTTAAACTAGGGCTAGACAGAAGTGAAGGCTATGATATTATTAAAATAGGAAATATAATTGACAGGAAAACATGTACAACAGGCATAAAACATGAATATATTTTAAAATATATGATTAATTGTTACTCTTGTAATGCTAGGAGTATTAGAAATAAAATTGATGAGTTCAAAGCAGTTGTGGAAGCTGAGGATTTTTGATATTATAGGTATCACTTGCACTTTGTTGGATTTGAACAATTTTGATGAGAGAATTTTTTTTTAAATTCCAGGCTATACATT